AGTTTACAGCAAGAAGATCAATGTGTGCTTAGTGTTTAACCATTCACTTCAAAACATTTTACTCTTGCTGCTTACGGTTTTCCTTGTTTTATGTCCTTTCAAACAACTTTTTATCCCTATCATTAAAAAACAGGGTTCCCGCGGCTCCTTAAAAAGTCTTAAAAGGCATTGAATTCTTCAAAATAAAACTAAGGCCTTAAGTGGCATTAAAATGTCTTAAATCAGTCTTTCGTTGGTCATAATTTTTAAAACATCATAAATAGGATTATTTTTATTTCGATTTATTTTTGTAATCTAAATAAAACATTAAAATTGAAAAAAAAAATGTATAAAAAAAAAATATAATAAAATAACGGCTCGCCATTATTGGTTCCCTCCCGATAGCAGAACCAATAAAGCGTTGTTGCGGCCGGGACATTTGGGAGATGCACCATTAACTTTTTGTCTGGAAAATATGATCAAGTGTAAATTAGGGCTGCAACAACGAATCGATAAAATCGACTTTTAAAAGCGTTGGCAACGAATTTAATCATCGATTAGTTGTGTCGCGCGATTAATGCGTCATCCGCCGCCGCCGTCATCCCGGGGAAGAAAAAAAATATGGCGGAGCGAGTCAGCGCCGCAGTTGCAGTGTTGCCAACTCAGCGACTTTTCAGACCCCTCCAGTGACTGTTTTTCAAAAAAGCGACTAGCGACAAATCTGGCGACTCTTTACGGTGTCACTGGCGGCTTTTGCCTGCCGTGGGGCGCCTCCCCCGTCCCAACCCCTTTCTCCCTCTCAGCGCTGCAGTCAGAGCCGCAGGATTTTAGTGAGGAGTTTACCCTCAGCGCCCAGACTGCAAATGAAGCGCGCATGCGCCGGGATTGACGGCGCAAATCGATCACAATAAATAAAACAGCCTGCGCTTTGTAAAGTGAAAAAAGTCGTAACATGCAACTTTTGTAAAAACAAATGAACATGGCGCGGAAGCACCACTGTTATGACGCAGCACCTGAAAAGGAAACACGTTGGAGCCTTCAATGGCAGTGAAGATAGCTGATCAGCAGGATGAGTAACCATGTTTGTTTGGTTTTAAAGTGGGGAAACGTAACGTTAGTTTCTCAGGTAGCTCATCTGATGCTTTCCTTACCGTGTTAGTAGGTTACAGACAGTGATAAGGTTGGCTACTTATTTTACTTTTAATTTCATTTGAATTAGCTTAAGCAGCGTTTATATTTTCTTTATAAATAAATTAACTTGCAAATTATGAGGGCAAGTCTTTTAAAGTTGAAATCTTCTGGCAAAGATAAAGTAAAGAAGATCCTGCAATTTATGGAAGTAAAGCAGAATAAAATCCAGCAAGATCAGTAATATGTCAATTAATTATCTGCCACATTCCCATGTAAATATCTGTCTTTGGAGGATGTGTTTTTTAGCACCCCTAGTTCTCTCATTTTTATTCCAAATACAATTTATAATTTGAATCACAGGGCTATTTTTATCTCTATGGTTCAGTATTTTCTCAAGCAGCAACTTTAACTGCTATACTTTCCTGTCTTAAAAGGCAGAACTCTTCTAGTCTAAAAAAAACTCATTTGTTGAAATGGGGGGGCCTATTGTTTGAACCCCTTAGGGGCTTTTAAAAACAAAAATTTATTTTTTTGCGCTTTATGAAACAAAGTACCCTATATTTTGTGGATGTACAGCTACATTTCTCATGTAAGTTTGCGTAGTTTTAACACAAACATTTATTTTTCATATTGCACCAGTACAGTTAATGAGCAACCTGTACTTGTGTGCTTGTTTGTTCTGTCTAAAATGTTTATTTTGGAATAAAGAGGTTAATATAAAAAAATATTTTTTGTCCGATTCATCGATTAATCGAAAAAATAATCGGCCGATTCATCGATTTTTAAAATAATCGTTAGTTGCAGCCCTAGTGTAAATGTAACCAAAATTGTCTCCAGCCAAGAGTTTCCTCCATGGCTAAAACCAGGGAACATGCATGAGGCTCAGTGGATTTAATGCAAGAAGTCATTCAAGCTCAGAACGATGGGAATTAAGGCAGTGGAGTCGCACATGCGAAGCACGAAACACAAAGCGACAAAATCGAGTTACAGAGAAACAGCCGGTATTTCTCAGTTTAGTTCCACCCTTGTCTCTGCAACGCCTCCACTTATCACCAAATCAAACATACTAAGAAAACCATACAAAGAAAAATAGCTGCTAAAAAGACTTAGCACTGGTTATGTTGGGGCTTTAAAACTTATTTGTTTTGTTCCCTGCTAAAACAAAGTTTGTGAATTCAGTTTAATAATTGTTCAAATATATCTGTCATTTGTGTGTTTTTAGCTTTCTTCCTAATTTAAAACATTAGTGCACTGGTTTATGTTAAAATAAACCTTTGGGTTAAGTTGTCGCAAGCAGGTTTTTCTAGCTAATTTGGTCTTTAAATTTTTATTTCAAGTGGCATTAAAAAGTCTGAAAAGGTCTTGAATTTAACTTGCCTTATGCTGTAGGAACCCTGAAAAACCTTTTTTTTTATTATTATTTATGAGTTTGAAACAAACACAAAAAACTGTCTTAGCAATACCTAGCAAAGCGAGCTTGTTCTTTAACTACATGTCCACAAATGTATCTGAAGGCTGAGATGACAGGCCAAGAAATCTTGTGGGAGTGAGTCTTGCAAAGCACTATCCTGTCAACATGAGGCATTACCTGGTGACGTTCCTGGGTGTAGAGCTAAGTGCTTTAAACTTGACACCCATTTGTTTTTATTTTTCTAAACTCAATCTATATCAATCTTCACCTAAAGTGGAGCTCTGCCCTTGAGGAACATGTTAAACATGAAGGTTTTACAAAGCATGAAATTTGCTAAATGTTAAATGGCAAAGCTGCCGTGGGATATAAATGTATTTAGAGATATATTTAGAACTTCAATGATAAAGTCATAATTTGATATTTATTTATATTATGCATGTAGCAAACGTCCTAGCGTCTCATTTTTCTCCTGAATTGTTCTTCTTAACCCTATAATGCCAAATGTATCGTATTTGATACATACGGTTTCTGAAATGTTTTGCGTCTGAGACCTTTTGCATAATTTAATGGTAAAAACTTTGCTCAAAATCCTATTGTACACAATCAGATATACCTGATAACAGCCAGTAGAAGACTACACAAAAAATAATCTTGACTTATCGCATAGTAATAAATTACTAATATCAAAAATGTATTTCTGTTTTTTCTTTTTACATATTTTGTTAAAAGGGCAAATAAGGAATTCAAACCAAAAAAAAGTAATTTTCTGTTTTATTTTATTCTTAGATCGGGCTTTAAAGGGTTAATGGAAACAGTTAAAAGAGAAATAACTGTCAGCAGATTGATGCAAAGTTCATGCTGGGAATCTAGTACCTAAAAATACCCCTAAGTGGGAGTATAACGCTTAAATTTCCACTGGAGGTTTTAATATAATCATCTCAAAATCAATCTGTTATATAACCACATCTTGGTAGTCTTAATAGGACTTAAGATGTGTCTCTTACCAGCAGTCATAGTGATTTATTGTCTAATCCTTAAAAACAGCATCACAGTGAATATAATCCATCACAGTGAATATAATCCAACACTCTCCTAATCCCCCCTTCCTCTCCTGGCAGCAGTGCTATCTCTGTCTGTACAGACACAACATGCAGGGAGTAAAACATGCAGTAGCTACTACTCAATCCTAAAACACAGAAAACTTTTTCTTTTTTTTCTTAAAGGTCAAAACTAATAGGAGAAGAATTCAACAATTTTTGGTCAAAGTGAGTTGTGTCAAAGCTCTGACTTTAAGTTTGGGTAAACTGTTTCTGAGTGGATGGAAGCAAACAGTTGAGATATATTTTAGTTTTAGGACTTTGACCCAGAAACCCAAACACTCTTCCAGGGTGGGCAAATATTTGCTCCCACTTCATTTCCTTTCCTACATGACAGATTATTCTCTCCGCAGTGCCCTTGTCTGGTTTCTCATCCAGTTCTATTTGTTTGAATTGATTCTGTTTTGTCTCGGTGGGGATAACTTGTAGTTTATGGGATGTGGCCAAGGTCTTGGGTTTAGACCAGTGCATGAAAACAAGATTCCTCAGAGATGTTTGCACCGCGGGAAACAATGGGAGGCTTTTTAATTCTCGCATTTTTGCATAGGAAAAGTAGCTTAAGATAAATTAAGATAATTAAGATAAATAAAATGATGCATAGGTTTTTTTTTCTGTTTAGAAATTGTGTTTTCATGTGTTTTCAAACGGCGGCGTCGTCCAATCAGCGATGTCTCATGTTTCCCACTGGTACCTACCTTTTCCGGTAGGTTAATGTAATTGTGTTTTCCTTAATGTAGTTGAGCTTTGCTTTATGTAGTTGCGATTTCCTTTATGTAGTTGCGCTTTTAGATTTGTAGTTGCAGTTTGCACTTCAGGGCCACCGTACTTAATGGTTACGTATACAATAATTTCAATGTGTCAACTCAACCAGAGTTTAGTGTAAAAAAAGAAAGTTAGCTCCTTGGTGTAAGGAAATGAAGATAAATATCTCAACAGACCTGAAAAATGTGTCTCCTGTCTTCTGAGCTGATGGTTACACCTCTGGTAGTTTTACATCAGTGGTAGGATTTCAGGATTTTTAAACCTTAGCCTATATTAAAAGAGATTACGCAGCATGTCAAGACATGCCGTGTCAGGGAATGTTGTTTTTGGAATCCATAATCTTAACATACATTATAAGGTTGGATTCATATTGATTTAAGTAAAGACAGGGGGCCTCATCATAAAGCATAACGTTACAGAGTAACCACTACCTGTGTGAGCTGACAGACTGGGCTGCATTCACCTGCAGGACATTCCCACTCTGACACGATAGAGAAATGAGAGGATACCAGCGAGGATAGGAGCCGAACACATTCCATGAAGCGGGGGGTAGGGAGGTGAAAAAGAAAAGGTGGTGGTTGGGGGTATTATTTTGTTTGTTGCTCCAGCCTTTTCATGCCCTCCAGCGCTGTGACCTTAACGGTAGGAAAGGATCAGCACCAACAATCACTGCAAATCCCAACAAACATGCACTCTCATTCCGGAAAAACCATGTTGGACGAAGTCAGCTCAGGTGATTTATGGGACAGGAAAAACCGCTGACCTGTAGGAAGGTGGACAATAAGCTGCCGAGTGAGACCTGCTGTGGACAATTCACCAAAAGGTAAACATCTTAATTCATGCCACTGCAGATGTGCTTCAGGAAGCAACCATTGGGTCTTTTCAGGGTTCGGTAATGGCGTCTGGTGGATGGAGGGGGTGGGGATAAGTCAAGGTGTCCTGTAATGTCTAAGCACACAACATAAGCCAACTGCTTGCTCAGGAGCTTGTGACTGCCACACGTTAACCTTGACTCTCACAGTGTGCACTACATTCATATACAGCATTTATTTATAGTACATGTGCCGCCCCAGTTCTGGCGACTGCTATTTTTGTTTCCACAGTGAATGCTTTCTTGAAGGACTCAAACAGACTTCTATATTGTTGTTTCTTTACTGAAACAGAAACTAATTTGACAAACCAGTAGAGATTGATTCAAAGTATATAAGAGGGTGCAACAAAAGCAGCTGTGACTGACCAGAATCAATGCACAGGTCTCCTTTCAATGTCCCCATAACTGTCACCTAAACACAAGAAAAAAAATAAAAATCAATTAATCAATATTTTGCAGACTGATAAGGAAGTCCATTAACCAGTTTCCTGAGCCGTTATCCAAGTACTGGTTCACTTCATCTGCTCAGAGATGCTTCAAATGGGTAAATAATTCAATTCAATTAAATTCAGTTTATTTCTATAGCGCCAAATTCACAACACATGTCATCTCAAGGCACTTTACAGTTCACCAGATCATCCAGTCAAATTGATCCAAAGTTTTCTATCTAAGGAAAACCAGCTGATTGCATCGACTCATTGACTCAAATACAATCCCTCACACTAAGCATGCTTGTAGTGACAGTGGAGAGGAAAAACTCCCTTTGAACAGGAAGAAACCTCCAGCAGAAGTCCAGCCATCTGCTGAGGCCAAAATAACAAATACACTGATTCTAGTTACATGCTAGATGTGAGACGAATACTTATGATGTTAAGTGAATGAATATTATGTAATTTGTAAACACTTGTAAAAAGTATTCATACAGCATCTTAAAAATCCACACCTCTTCACCTGCTTAAAATATTATTACGTTTGGCATAAAACATCAACACAAAGCAATGGGCTTCAATTGAATTTCTATTTGACACCTTTTTACTCTGATACTCTACAGTAGAGACTGACACGGGAGTGGATTTTCACTCCTGTCCCGTCCCACTCCCACAGAAAAAAATGGTGTCCCGGGCAGGAGTAGAAATCTAAATCCTGTCCCGTCCCACTCCTGGTGAAATTACTCCCACTCCCATTCAGAATGACTCCCGCTCCTGCTTCACTCCCATTCTTGTTGTTTTTGAGCGCGGGTGAAAAACTCAGAGCGGAAGCACTGTTGGTTTTTGGGTCGTGTAGTTTTTTTTTTACTCGCATTATAGTGTAGGCTTCAAGTAAAAAAACTACAAAATGGCGGCGCCAGTACTGGATTATTTTTCTTTCTATTTTATTTTATTTTTTGGCATCGATCCTAGTTTTTTTTTTTGTTATTATTGGCTTGCTCCCACTCCCATCTGCTCCCGTTAATGTTTAATCCTGTACCGTCCCAATCACGTGATTGTTACTAATACTGACTCCCATCGCACGGGAATCCCACGGGAATCGCATGGGAATCCCGTGACCCGTGGGATTCCCGAAAAAATGTCAGTCTCTACTCTACAGCCGAGCTCACAGATTAGCGGACCCACCTGCTGGCTAATCCGGACCCAACCTGATTTAAAACATTTATAAATTACTGCATGTGTCCAACAACAGTGTCTAACTTCACCTGTGCCGCTTCTCCTGTTAATACGGTAAAGCCCTGGGGAGCGCCCGGCTCCAGGCTGCACGTGATCCAAATGAGCCAATGAGCTGTCAGTCTGGGTTGCTGCTGCTGCTACTGTTAGACACAGCAGGCAAACCTGTGGCAAGCCGGGCGATGGGAAAGAAGGAGAAGACCATGAGAAAAAGAGAGCAGAGAAAGTGTGGACTGCTGGAAGAACTGCGGTGAACTGGTGAAAGAAAAGTGAAACGGCGTGCTCAAAGATGACCCTGCACATTTAGAGGATGTTTGGCTCAACCTGCTGCTCTGAAGTATGAGCCATGTATGAATCCAATGTGTGAGCTGTAGAGGTGGGAGGCATCCTGGAAAATTAGACCTGGATTGAACATTTTTAAACATTCCTGTAGTCTGGCAGCCTAGCGGTTAGAATGTAGAGCTCTGAATCCTGAGGTTCTGAGTTCAAGCCCCACTCCCACAGACTGCCACTCTGGGTCTCTGAGCAAGAACCTTAACCCCACACTGCTCCCTGGGCACTCCATGATGGCAGCCCACTGCTCCCCAAAGAGATGGGTTAAATGCAGGGGTACATTTCTCCAATGTGAGATCAACAAAGTTAAATTATTATTTCCCCCTCATGTGAAACACTATGTGTGAAAAACTTAACAACATTAGTATGAAAAAAAAGCATTCTTTAAATAACTAGACAGCCTGAGATAAGAACAGAACAATAATGGAGGATTATCTGTTAAAGGCCACACAGGACACGAGACTGGGGTGGAGATTCACCTTCAAAACACAGAACAACAATTCAAAGGCAGAGCCAAAGTTAGTTTAGACTTTTTGTTTTTTAAACAATGGCCTAGTCAAAGTCCAGGCCAACATCCAATTGAGAACTTATGGCAAAACTGAAAAATGAAACATCTGTCTATGCAATATTGGTTCCATTTCCAAGTATTTCATTATACCAAATGTTTGGAAAATAGGGCCCAATTTGTTCTTCCACTTTAAATGTCTGTGCTACCTATGTTGGTCTGACTCAGAGGATCCAGATAAAAGAGAATAAAGATTACCGAGTATTAAAATATTTGCTAAGTTTTTTGGCACGGCTCTGTAACTTCTACAGAATGACACTGTGACAAGTAAATATTTCCAACTCTAACATCCATTCACACGGTATTTGTTTGGGTGAAGCACTCCTTCCTTTCAGAGGCTCCTAAACGAAGAGTTTAGAAAGTATTTCCTGCCCTGCTGATACCAGAGCTGCCTGCTCCATATGAGCTGCATGGGGTGTTGCAGTTAAGGCTTTACAGAAGCACTCTGAATAAAAACCGGTTTATTGTTCCCATTGTTTATTCTTTTCACTGTACCATCTGGTGACTTCATCCCTCCATTACTAGCACTCTCTCTCCTTTTTCTCTCTGTTTATTTTGTCTTCTCTAGCTGTCTCATCCTGCTCTCAGCGCTGCGTCATCTACAGCCAGAAGTGGGTTGACAAACAAGGTACTGACTGTGCAGAAAGCTGGAATTGTTTAGCAGCAAATGGATGACCCTTTTGTTTCTGCAATACTGCAAGGACTGTCTCAGAGGGCAGCCGTCATCTCACATGTTTCCCAGCAAGAGGTGAAACGTTGATCAGAAGCTGCAGCACAACAGTGTTTGAATGTGCAAGGATTGGACAGTAAATTACCTCGTCTTATTTGCAGTTGATTATTTCTGCTCATGAAACCATTTCTGGAACCATGCAGGATTGCCAGACAGCTTTGGATGATTAGAATTAATGTCTTTATATTTCTGCATGCAGAAAACTCATCATGCTCCTGCAGGGCTGCCTTGACTGATTTTATGAGGGTTTGATATTACTCCTCCTCCCTTGAAATACTACAGGAAATTCATTATTAAAACTTCAAATGATGTTTCAATATTACTCCTCATCAAAGTTATAGCACATTAGAGTGCACCTTCAGTCTCTATTAGGTCATAACAGTCCAGCACAGCCTCCCCTTCCCTCATATTTCCCTGAGGGCTGGGAAAACCTAATCAATGATCTCATGCTACTGACTGACCATCTGCCTTATTGTTTGAGATCACATCCATGCATAGAGTAAACATGGTGAGCCACAATCTTTCCTCTATTATAAATTGAACCGTCAGGTGTGTCTACAGCATCACACAAAAAAATGAATAAATACGGTGTTGGTGTTTACAGGGCCCTGAAAAAGTATTCAACCCCTTAAGATTAGCCAAATTTCAGCTACATAACTGACTGTATTTATTAGGGATTTTTTGAAACAGACAAACAGAGTTCAATGACCTTTAGATACGATTTCAAATATTTTCAACAAACAGAAACCCAGAAAAACATTCAGTTGTTTTTTTTCTACTGTAATATAAAAAGCAAAAAGAAACTTGGTAAAGTAAAGTAGTGGCAGCATCATGCTTTAGGGATGCTTTTCTTCTGTTTAATTTCATAGAAAGATGAACGGAGCAACATCAAGATGGAGACCTGCAAGATGCTGCAGACACTGAAACTGTGATGGAGGTTGATCGGATAAGCCAAAGCACAGAGGCTGCCATGATAGGTGGCGTCTAAATATTGCTAGCAGTAAGGAAGCAGGTAAGAAGAGCCTATTGATAGATAATTTAGTAAACTGACCTCTAGACGTTGCTAACCGCTTCATAGGAGCTATATGGATTCCCATAATCCTTTTGGGGCAGAGGATACCTCACTGAATTTTGAAAAAAATAAATCTTTTTCTTTAAATGTACTCTGTGTGACACATGCAAATTTACACAATTAATGTGTTTTTTGGTTTTTATAGTGGAGAGCTTCAACTGTTTGTTCCATTTGTAAAACTTGCGTTTTTTTGTCTTTCCAGGAGGCTGTGGCTCCAGTCTTAAAGCTCTACTCCATGTGCCTTTCTAACGCCTAATGATGTCTGGATTCAGTAATGCTGTCTGAAGTTCCCTTCCTACCCATTAAAGAAAACTCTAATAAGAGGATGCATCTCCAGCTTAAATTAACTGCTTCAGTTGGTAAAAAGTAATTGAAAAAAATTGCCCAAATTAACCACTGTAACTTTGCAACTTATAAACTCAAAATTAAATAAGGTAAAAATTGGCTCTGCTTGATTTAATTACTTGTTATCAATTAAATCCATTCATTTAAGTTGGAGCTGCATTCACTTTTTAGTGTGCTCTTACTAGTGAACCCAAGAAAGATGGAGGAACAGAACAGGAGCTATAATTTGTTCTAATTGGTATCGTCCTCCGATCAAAGGCAATAAATCAATTTTAAAGGCAAGGTTTTAAAATTGTTTTCAAAACAATGTCTCCATCCAATCAGAACCAGAAAACTGCAACGAAACACTGCTTCACAAATGTTTTGATCAGAGGGGCTTAATATGCCAAAGATTTTAGACTTATATGGGTCAAAAGGACTTTAGACAAGAATTTCCATGAAATCACGTAGAAGATTGTGGTTATACCTGAACATCATGAACCCGTCTGTACAACTTCTGAGGCTTGCAGATAACACAGTATCACTGGCTGATCTAGAACAATCAAGAGACGCATCGGTTGGAAACATTTGTTAATTAAGTTTATGTAAAGGGCTGTTTGGAGCCTATCACTATACAAAGCATAAGCAAAATAACTGGTTGCTTAGGGTACTAGGGCAACAAGGGGCTGCACAAGCGTAATCTTTTTTTTATGTATAATGACTTCAATAAAAACATACAATTTCATGATAAAATTGTCTTACTTCACTATTTGTCTTACCTGGTTTCAGATAACTTTTTATTTAAATATGTGTTTCATATTTTTGGCAATTAAATGTATTATATTCAATCCTATCTTACATGTTCCTGCATTGTAGATTAATGTTGCTCACTGCTGTTGCAGGTTTATGAAACAAAAAAAATAAATAGTAAATCAGATTACGATTTTGGCTTAAATGCTAGTAAACTGTGTAACTTTTACTAAAACTGGATGATATTTACATGTAGGATCATGTAATCAGCACTACCTGAGCTGAAATTAGTTTAAAAAATGGTGTGCGAATGATCTGATTATCTAACTAAAATGCAATAATCTATATTACAGGCAGAGATAGAGGGTCTCAAAATTAGTTTTCACTGAGGGCCCCATCCGAGCTTAGGCTGTCGCTGGGTATTTGTGCATATTGTTAGGAATCCAGTTTGTGTGGGTTGTGCTTTTGTTTGTCTTCCCTCCTCCACCAGGCGGCGCCTGGTTCTGGTTGGCCTCCTCACACCTGCAGGTGGTTACCTCATTACCGGAGGACTCTTAAGCTGCTGACTGCCACTAGCTCACGCCAGAGTGTTTGCCAGTTTTTGGTACTCTAGCCAAGCTGAGTTTTGCTGAGTCAAACTGAGTTTTTGTCACCTGAGTCTTAACCTTGTAGTATTTGTCTTTGCCTCTCTGCAGGAAGTCATTCTGCAAACTGGATGTTTTGGACCTTCTCCCCCCTGGAAGGATTCTCTGAGCATCAAGCTGAGCTGAGGATTCAAGCTAGTGGTTTGGATCTACTTTTCCCCAAGGATTGTTTGGGCGTCTCTCTGAGCAGGGGTTTCATCTCTACAGGAATCCGTTCAAGTACCGCAGGAAAATTAAGTGGCAGTCAGCTCCTCCGTTCTTCAAGGAAGAACCGCAGCCTGGGTAAACCCTGTCCGCCCTCCAACGAGCAAGTCATTCACTGAAACAACCCACACCGACTAAATTCAACAAGAGACACCTTTTTCTGGAAACGTGAGTCCTGTTGCCTTAATTCCCTTCTTCAAGTCGAAGACACAAATTTCCCACTGAGCCTGAACTAACCACAGAATCTTCCCCTTCACTTTTTAGTCCCAATGGACTCCTCTCAACCTACTCTCAATAAAACCTGTTAAACTTTTCGCTGGTCTCTCTGTTTGGTGTTCTGCATGTGGGTCACAGCCTTAGATAAAATCATGACACATAAATGATCACTGTATATAAGGATATTTACAAAAAAAAATGTCCTATTTCCCTTTTTACTTCAATACTTGTTTTGTTTTTTGTTTTTTAGAGCAAAGTAAAACTCTCTTCAATTTCCTTGTTTATTGCTTTGTAAAAACTTGATGTTTCAAAGCTGACTGCTTCCAGACAATGACAAAATTCATGTTCTCATCCACTCACCATGGCCCAGACAACTTAGGATCTACATTAGCATGTGCACTGAAAATGTAATGCTTAGGTCTTTTTTAGACTTAAAATAGCAAAGCATTAAAGTCTTTGCCTCCTCATAATCCCCAGTATGTAGCTGCATGTGTCATATTAAGTCAAGTGAAGGGCAGATGGAAAAGGCTCCCTCCAATGCTTGAAGTCTGCTGGAGGAGACAGTCGGTTTTCCCCCAGGGAGAGGGAAACGCAGAGGGAGTTGTTTTCAATTAGCAAGATTTTGCTGCAACAAAAAGCCCGAGCTGCTCCCCGCTGCACCTCCAGCCTGGCCAGAGAAAGCAAATCAAATCAAGACAGGAACATTTGCAGACAAAGGCTTAGGAGAGCCAGTTTGGAAGGGAGGTGGTGGTGGTAGCAGGGAGGGGGGGCTGCCAAAAAGGTCAGGTGTGTCACACTTGAAAGGCTCTTTGCTCTGTCGATATGCTTTTAGAGAGTACAGGGAAACAGATTGTTTGGAGGAGGGGGACTGTGCCACCAAAAATCATGAATGAAGATCTTTTCTGAAGTGGCGCACAATATCATTTCTGTTTTAGACATGAGGCTCTGAACGTACAGCAACCTGATCAGTTATTGTCCCCCCCACCACCCATAAGATCATAGTCCTTTGGTAGCTTTGTTGTCTACAGGTGCTTTTTCTGATGTAACTTCAAAGCTTTCTGATGTCTGGGCCGGGGGTTAGCCTGGCCAGCTACGCTTCCTTGTCCCTTTTCATGCAGAGAGTCATTTTTCTCCCTGACAAGCAGTTGGAACAGAAGCTGGGCCCCCCTGAGCACTAATTACGGGTCACGGTTCTCTCTACTGTCTGACATCATGTGGGTGGGCAGATGATGGTTCATTTTGAAGAGCCTGGACATGGCATATGCAGTATCTGCCAAAAGTATTTTCACCCATATTCCCATAATTCACTGTGAGCAAACTGCAAACTTTAATGTGTTGTATTTGTATTTAGGCGACAGTGAAAGATGGAAACCATGTAGCCCATAGTTGAGAAGTGAAAGGAAAAATATCTTTTTACATAAAAAAAAAAGAAATAAAAAAAAAGGTACAGTTTGTCTCCAAAATGGGTTTATCTCCAACAAACACCTGTTGTAACACTTTCTATTCATTGCTGGTGATGGTGTTTTAAATGGGATGCAGACTGTTAGCATTACAGCCATACATTGTTTTTTCTTCCATGAAGGCAAGAAAGAATTCTAACTTTAATCTCAGAATTCTGACTTTAATCTTAAATTTCTGACTTTAATCTCATAATTTGGGATCTTAATGTAGATGGGCCCCGTGAAGGCAGAGATGTGGAGCACTCAGCTTCACTGACAAAGATGTGAGCTGTTTAGGAGGAACAGGAACACATTGGTGGAAAATTATGGAATTAGGTGACTTTTTACGTGTCCAAGGGGTCCCTGGGGCTGTTTAATTAATGCAAGCTCAGAAAGTGATTAAAACAAGAGCTAGTTTAGTCTCTAAAACAGACATGGCTACGGCTTGATGCTAACATGTTTGTTAGCTGTCAGAATTCAGTCACAATTCAGAAAAAAAAGTCAGAATTCTGACTTTTTCCCCATTTAAAAATCAGTTAACTTTTTAATTTTTTCAGTGGCCCTAATCCTCTTCCGTAGTATCCGGGCGTGAAAGTGAAGTAAATTAGAAACTTGTAAGAGCTCTTCTCCTGCATGCAGTTAAGTTTGTAGCCTCCTCTACACCCAAACATTTCCAAATTTACTGCGGCAGGCAGGGTTTCGTGGGAGATACCACATCGGGATGTTTTATGGGGGGAGCACGGGAAAAAAAGAGGCGATATTCGACATTAAAAAAATGTCGTTTTGATTCTTATTATATTAATGAATATAACTTAATTAACTTAGCGCCTGATGTGATATAAAATGTCCCTGTAATTTTAATGAAAACAAACAAAGTGGCTCCGTCCTCCCCCCACCTCTTTTCCCGCTCCCTCTCCCATGTATTCGGATGCAGAGCTCCAGATCAGAGCGGGGCAGCGGAACGCAGCGGAGGGACGGACAAGGTTTCCCAAAACTAATAAAACAGCCTGCCAAACGGTGGAATTTCGACCCCTTTTCTCTGAAATAAAAGAATTGTTTGGATATACCGTTTTGAAAGGAATAAGTTGTTCTCGTCGTGTAAAGGTGAGTTGTGTTTCTCTTCGTACTTTTTAACGTTTTTGAGTTCGGACTGTGGGACTTTTACTGCCGCGACAGTTATTAGGCTGTTATTGCTCAGCCATCCTCTCTCTGCGGGTTAAAGTTAATAAACGGACTATCCGGTCATTTTAAACCTTCTCACTTTAGGCTTATTGACGTCTATAAGATATGCAGTGTACAGTGATTTATTTGCTTTGCTCTTGTCCAACGGTTAGACCCAATCTTCTCACTAGAAGCTGCCATGCATACATCTGGTGACATCATCATAAGCAGTTTATCACATTTATTTTCTCTTTTATATTTTCTTATTGACTATATACTGTCAATATCAGAGTATTAGCTCTGCGAGGACAGACTGCATGCTGTGTAATAGGGCTGGTAAACATTTTTATGGTGATATAAACATAAAATACGTTAATCTATGCTCCTTATATGTGCTAGAATCTGTCTAAAAAATCTGCTCCTGTGTTTACTAATGGCTGCTCATAAATTCAATCCTTGCTTTTATTGTGATGTTATAGATACTAGTGAAGTGAAAAAAAAGGAAAATATGATATTTTGTCCTTTTTAAGATAAACTTTTTCTTCTTTTCTTTTCCTGCGGTGGAAATCCAGCCCAAATGTGTTTATAAGTCAGCATATATTTGTCAATAAACATAGAATATAGGATTAGAATAATATATAACATATTAAATCTTTTTCGAACAACAAAAATATAATAAAATAGTCTTATACATTTTTCTGTGGTCCAAATTTTTGTGTGACCATTTTTTTGTATAATCTTTTTACTGCAGTAAACACCAGAATTTCTCCATTGTGGGACAAAAAAGATTTTCTATTCTATTCTATTCTATTCTAATTCATTCTATTCTATTCTTATTTATTCTATTCTAAATAAATAGAATAATGAAACTTATCAGCTTCTTTTTCCCACTTATGCTCACAGCAAAGTGGTTTATATTTGCAAAGTTCAAACCTTACACTCATCTGGCTTTAAAGTTATCTATAAAACAAATAAAAAAACAGAACAGATTATCCATAAAAATGTCCCCCACAAGGAGGTGGTTGTCGCTTAGTTAGTCTCTTAATCCATCTTTATTATACAGTACAAGATAAATGGTTTTAAAGTTGATACAGACGTGTAATTACCAAAGTGTCGAGTGTGTATATCAGAGCTTAAAAAGAAAGAAAACTTTACCCTCTCCTTAGAATGAGGTGAATTCTAGTTTGTTAGTTTAGTGGAAATTAGATTTCCCATCTCAGGAATGTAAAAAATGCCCCTTCTGTTTAATATTAGACTGGAAAGCAGTAGAGAGAAAACAGGTTTGCTTCTAGTTTATTTGTAGCTGTATACGGGGTTCTGGTTCATCAGTCTGGTATGCATTGTTTCAACTTGGAGGTTGCGTTGCCTCTGTTCCAGAACCTCGGGAGCATGTGTCGCCTGCAGGCATTTTACTCTGACAGCCAAAATCATGTCCTCTGGCTTTAGCTGATTTTGCTGGAATGTTAGTAAAACAGATCAGTCCAACAGAGCACAGATGTAGCTTGGAAATAGTTTAAGTTCTTCAAACTGGATATTTAGCTTTTTAACCCGCTGATATTCTACAAACTACTCATGCAGGCTCCATTCAAGCTGCTAGGAGAGAAGGAAGGAAAACTAGATGCTCTGTAGGTTCACTTAGTACAAAAAAAAATAGATAAAATGAAGTTTCGGAGGGAAGTGATGAAGCAGGTGTCGTCTACACAGGAAGAACCAGCCTGTAGTAGGAAACACAAGGGAAATATGTGGACATAAAAATGCTTTGTGTGTGTGTGTGTGTGTGTGTGTGTGTCCTGACTCATTCAGATGAGTGTGTTGGAATGTCAGTGGGGAAGTCCATAATTGCAGGAGGAAGACCCTCTTTCCACCATTTGCATGAACAGTCAGGGGTTTCTCTTCAAACTTTCAGACATTGATGCTGTTTTCATAACATCCGGATGCAATGTTTTGTTTTTCTGACCACAATCTGTAATTATTAAGGTTGTTTTTTAACATTTCAGTAACATCAAAACATGTTTTATACCTGAGTTTAAGAAAGGACGTAACCTACTGTGTGATAATTACATCTAAAGTGACGTAAACATTCAAGTTAAAACATAACTCTTTGTTACTACTGTTCCTAAAATTAGGGCTGTTAGCTTTTAAATAAATTGTTTCATACTCAGTTATTATCCTCATTTTGAATTATGGACTTAAGCAAAAGCCTCTAGGGTTTTTTTTCTCTTTGGTCATATGATTTCTCACCATTTTATGTTATTTAATAAAATAAGTTGTGTGTTTATGCTATTGTATGTCATTTGTTTTTGCTATGGTTCATTATTTCCATAAGTCATCTTAATAAACACATATAAAGGTACAAATAGTTTAATTTCTGTTATGCAGTCTGGAAACCACGTATTACCTTCTTTCCATTTGTTTTGATCTCCAGTTTTGGCTACTTAACTGTTGCTCCTGACCCTGATTAAACTTTCTGGCAGATGTTTATGTTTATACAAATGGTATAACTGCTTTTTTTTTACTGTAGACCTTGAGCGAGTTAGAGAAAATTACACCGTTGTCACCAGCGAATGATTCTGTTAGAAATATCTAACATCTAATGTCGTAATCAGCTATTTTACCCTTGATTGGAAATAATTCCTTCACTTTCTGTTGGACTGGAACAATCTGAGGCACTCGTGTTTGATTTTATAAAGATTTGGAATTGGTCACAATCAGGGAGCAGCAACAGGTCAGGGGGGAGATTTCTGCATTACTGTACGCTCATAGAAAGGGTGAAACTGCAGTTAGTCCTGATTTTTTTTCTGTCATCTAATTAAAGATAAACTAGAGATAATTCTTTAGTTTTTTTCTGATTTAAGCTTGGAAGGCTCTTTTATCAGAGTAGCTTGTCCAGGACTTAAAGACTTTTTCTCCCAGTATTCCCTCAGCGTGTTTGGTAGATTAGACGAAGGAGAAACTGTGTTTATATTGTCAGGACAAAGTGACCGATAGATAAAGACATCCCGGCTCCATGGGGAAAAAAACAGGAGTAATGTTGATATTAACATATTAAAAACTGCAGCGCTTTATCAGTGCTGTATGCTTTAGTATTCACACCTTACATCTCAGAATGTGAATCTGTGTTCTGACTGTGGTTATAGCGGCTTAGTTTCTGAGCCTTGCTGCTGGGGGAAAACATCAGGGCTGGGTGTTTTTACTTTAACTGCAGAGATGCTTGGTGACTCCTCACATCCATCGCAGGTTTCACAGAGGAGATGAAGGGGAAAATGGGTCGGCTCTTCCTGCATTTGTCTTCTTTTGTCCCTGCTCCCCACCCCCCCTTGCTCCCGGTGATGTGTTTTCAAGGAAGTGGACCAAAGGAATCCAACCTGCAGGCATTCTCCTGAGGATGTTATCAATGGATTTCACAGCCGTCTCACTGCAGCTCTTAGCATTTCCTCCAGGATATTTTGTTTGCTTCGGCAGAATTGTTTGGAGGATTATGTGTTTTGGAGGATTATGTGTTGGTGAGAGACGGCACCACATTTAGGTCAAACACTGGACACAGTATATGCTTTGGCTTTTTTCTTTTCTTTTTTTTTTTGCAGCACTTTGGGGCTGAATTATTTCATATGTGCATGGTTATCCTGCGTACCATTTTAAATAACAATTAGCAAGATAACTCCTCTGATGTGAAAGTTGAAACAAAACAAGACCTATCAGATCTGATCACCTGCTCCAACAGTTTTCATTCAGCCACAAACAAAGTTTTCAAATAAATAGAAAAATAAAAACAAAGAAAAAAACTGCGGTTTGCTGTAATTGCCTGACATTTTTCCTCCTTACCCCCTTCTTTAAGGGCGCTTGCACTATTTCGAGCCTACGTAATGGCTGGTTTGACGTTTTTGTGGTGTGTTGCATTGCGACTGCTAGTTTTGTGAGGTTACTCATGCTGAGTCCAAGCCTGAATGCTGGGCGGGGAGTGAAGGGAGCGACTGCTGACTCTGTTCAAACATGTCTGGCAGCGCTGGCAGCTTGAGGTATGCCCGGCTGTGTGTGTGTGTGTGTCTAAGTCTTTGCTCTTAGCCACATGGATGCCAGATGCTGTACTTGTTAAAGTATTTTTTCTAAAAAGGTATGTGTGCTTCAGTCAGACCGCACTGAGAGCTCGTATGTTCACCCTACAGGTAGCTGTGATTTTCTATAAAGAGCAGAGCTCATACGGATCCCATTTAGCCATTGAGTATGTGGCAATTAGTCTAATCCTCTTTCAAAGTGTTCTAGAGGGAGAAATTGCTGAATAGCGGCAGAAACTGGAACATTTCTTGTTCTTTTTTGAATTGTTGTCCCACAAAATAGTTTTCTTTAATTAAGATCATGTTAGAATAGACATTTGTTGTCACTTAATTGGTTTCTGCAGTGATTAGTTTATAATCCCTGTGCTCTGTTAATTGCTTCTGTGTTATTTTGATTTGTTTGGTGCATGTTTTTATGTGTGCAATGAAGCATGTTAAAAGAACTGAACAGCATTCACATTGGACTAACCGGAGCGCTTACTTTGTTGTTTCTTTATTTACATGTGCGAAAGTTTCCACCTCGCAATGAATTTAAACGAGACGTTTCATGAGGGGCGGTTATGGCGCTAAACAGCTGGGAGGCTTCTTCTCTTTTTCCTAATGGAAAACATGAACTACATTTAAAAAGTTTTCTACATTCTTTTTGTTTTGGTTGAACGACTTTTATTGAAGGTCTACATCTTCACTGAACTTACATTCGTCATTTTCACCAATCAAGAGTTTTGTGGCCAAACTCGTTGCTATAAATCAGGAACACATATAAAGTCAGGGTAAGAAATTAGTTCAACTATTCCGAAGTCTAAACATTATTAGTGACTTATTTAACAGTTTAACAACAGCCACAATGCATATCCCAGTGGACACATATTGATAACATAGCATTGAATGAAT